AGGTGTGATAGAGCCCTTTGCCGACTCCATAGCAATACGGAGACGATCTTGTGTCGCGGCCGCGGGGGTCGCGGGGGTTGCGGGGGTCGCGGGAGCCGGAACCGAGGTAGCCGGGGCGGGAGCGGGTTGAACGAGCGGCGGCGCGGGTGCCGGGGCAGGTTGCCCATTCTAGGCAGCTGCAGGAGGGTTGGGAGCAGGTGCTGCAGCAGGTGCTGCAGCAGGAGCTGGCTGCGAGGAAGGTGTGGGAGCTGGTTGCGGGGCTGTTACACCTTGGTGATTGTAGAGCTCTGGGTCGATATTCGGGTCACGCGGCTGTGCCGAAGACGGCCCGGGAGGCCCAACTTGATAATACGTGGTGTAGGCGCCTTGCGGGCCTATACCGGTGTGAACGGCAGGCGGGATGGTGTTTGGGCGTTCGTGCTTCAAGCGCCAGAACGTCGGGAACCAGAAGTAGTTCGAGACGATGTTATCTAAATCGATAATCAGCTGTGAATAAAACGATACAATGTGAAGTGCCATACCCCAGAGATTTCGGCCCTCCGGCGTGGTCTCGTCGTCGGGTGCATCACCTGTAATGAGAGGAAGGGCTAGGACCTGCCCGTCATGAAGACCACCGCCTGTCTGATGTAACAAGGCGGCCTGCGACTTGTATATCCCATTCAGCCTGCATGTTTTTGTTAGATGCGAACCCCGGAGATGTTCGAGAATTGACGTACGAGTTCCATTTACCCAGGACACGCTTCCCCGCGACCGTGGCATTTTGCGCGTACACCTCCGGGGCAACCTTCATCGCCATTCGTTTGCCAACAGCAGCCTTACTGCCGGCCGAGGAGTTCTACATGTCATCTATCAGAAAAACGAGCACGAGAAGATGATGAACACGAGAACGGACCTCTCCGTGTTGCTTCCCATACAGAACCTTCCGATTCTCTTCTACCTCGCTCTCGCTGAGGAGAAGCTGGATTCGGGCCTTATCCCATTTGATATCGGGAATTGCGGTAGCGGCAGTAGCAGCAGTAGACATGTATAAGATAGAATTATAGTAAACGAAGGTGGGATTGTCGTAGCTAAGGAATAAACGCGGGCACGCTAGCTACCCTGGGGCCGGTCTTTGATGGCATCTGCGGCTCGCGTGGTGTCCGAGCCCGCGGACTCGGCGGCCCTCACGTGTAAGCTGCTGCAGCAGCTGCAGCGGGTTGCCGCGGCAGCCGCACCTCAATTCTGACGTCCCCTACTAAACCCCATCGAGAACAACCGGTGAAGCAGGTAAAAGGATCCAGCGGCGCATTCGGGAATCGACGCCGATTTCCTTCAATCCCCGTAGGCCTCAGCAGCCTAGCGCTCCGTGCAATAGTTTCGAGATGGACACATTGATTCCGTATTCACTCAGTCCGACTGCAGAATTAGAGTGAGTACTGTCCATGCATGATGGTACGAACGGTGTTGACGCATTGACGCAGGCTGCGACCCGCGACGGGCGCTCTCCGTCTCCCATGATCGCCGCTCCCACACTCCGCGACCAACGTCCATCTTCATGCGCTCTGCTCATCCTGGGGCATAGCGTGCAATGAACTTGCTTCACTCGTCTTTCCGGGAGCTCGAGGGTGCGCTGCCGCGTCCCGACTTCGTCACTCTCCGCGCAACCCTTGTCGATCCACCCATATGGCCGACACGAGCGCCCCGAGGAAGGCGGAGAAGTGGCGGCTAAAGCCGCGATTGCCGGTACCGTCCCATACGTCTACCTTGCTCTTATACCACACAACGGTCGCTCACTGTATGCCTACAGGTTCTTGCACTGCACAGACAGTTACTCGCGCGCGGCGCTGTAACCACCGCCCACATGCACCCAGGACTACAAGACAACCCATTACCACCTACTTCAGCCGACCTCGACGCGACATAGTGAACACCTACAAGCGCCACGCCGGCCCAGGGCGCATGCTATCCGAGTCTCAGCCGTACCGGACAACTACCGCCTGCAACACCGACGTTAGCTATGGGCGTACTGCAACTGTCAGACGTGTTTCCGCCTTACATTCAGAGCCCAATTAACTTCGGATTCCCGACCAATCCGACGCACATTATTCAATGAAGGATTCCTGGGTCCACCCTCAGGTGCTGATGACAGACATGCATAGCGATACAACTGCGACTATTGTTCCTAGATACTTATAGATACAGCAACAAGCAATACAACATGAAGTCTACAATCACGTATTTTACAAGTACTTTTGTTCTCAATCACTTCTACTCTTCCTCCAACCGATATCGCTCTACTTGAGCAGTACGCTCACAAGCAGCGCCATGCGAATCTGCAGTATATCGTCAGAGACCCGTGCACAGAAGGAGAACAGCGAGAAAGACGTACGTATAATCCATACCGCATCTGGCGGAAGTACACCGCACGACGCGAATCAAAATCGACCTCCTCCGCAATCTCCGTCAAACGCGGAAGCGGATGCATGACGATCATCTCCTCCTTCGCGCGCGCCAGCATAGCGTGGTCTACGCGGTACACGTCGCGCACGCGCTCGTATTCCGCGTCGCTTGAGAATCGCTCACGCTGAACGCGCGTCACATATAGCACATCCGTCTCGCCGAGGACCTCCTCAACGCTCTCGCACTGATGTACAGTGACACCCGCACGACGCGCGGCGTTCACGACCGCCGCGGGCATCGCGAGGCTCTGCGGTGCGACGAAGTTGAGGCGGACATTCGTGTACAAGCAGAGGAGCGTCACGAGCGAGTGCACCGTCCTGCCGTTCTTGAGGTCGCCAAGAAGCGTAATGGTGCGGCCGTTGACAGTGCCAAGCTCGCTCCGGATAGTGTACACATCGAGTAGTGCCTGCGTCGGGTGTTCTCCGATACCGTCGCCGGCATTGAGAACCGGTACCGGGCTGTAACGAGCAGCGAGCTGGCAAGAGCCGACATCGGGATGGCGCATGACGATCGCGTCGGCGTAGCATGCAAGCGTGCGAATCGTATCCGGGACCGACTCGCCCTTCTGCACCGAGCTGCGCCCAGCATCAACAGTCACAACCTCTCCACCGCAGCGCTTCATAGCCGCCTCGAACGACGAGCTAGTGCGCGTGCTCGGCTCATAGAAGAGCGTGCAGAGCACCTTGCCCTTGAGCACATCGAGCACTCCCTGGCGCTCCACCTGCAGGCGCATCTCGTGCGCGAGCGAGAAGAGGTCGTAGAGGTCCTTCTGCGTGAACTGCTTGACGGACAAGATGTGGCGCCCAGCGAACGACGGGTGCGGGATCGGGTGAGAAAGCGCCGGCTGCCGTGCGAGCGGGCCCTCGAGAGCGCGCATGGCGGCCGAAGATGATGGCACATCAGCGCCGAGGGTCGTAGTGGACGGCTTCGTCGCGGGCGCTGTGGGAACAGTAGTGGCAGACGTCGACGGTGCACCAAGCGAGGGCTTCTCAGCCGCCGCTGCAGAAGCTGCAGGGACATGGACGATGGAGGCAGAGACGTCGTGGCCATTGGGTGCGCCGAAGAGCTCGCCGTCGAGGAAGACAGTCTGACCGTTGACGACGACACGGTGTACGGCGCCCTTGATGGGCTTTCCGGCAAGCGGAGACCAGTGCCTGTCCGACTTGTCGTAGACGCTCGTACGATCAAGAACGACCTCGACCTGCGCATGCGACTCGGGCAGACCGAAGATGCGCACAGGGTTGTCGTGCAGGCGCTCCTGAATATCGCGCAGCGTGAGACGGCCATCCACAACGGCGGTGAGCAGAAGCGGCAGTGCCTCCTGCACACCAGACCACGCCGAGCCCTTCTCGCCCTTCTCGACAGAGACGTAGAACGGCGGGCCATTGACAGTGAACGCGTCGATGACGTCGAGGTTGCGCCAGAGAGCGGCCTGATCCGATGCACCGGGGAGCGAGCGCGCACCGAGCGCTTCAGCGGTGAAGAAGAGAGAGTAGACGGAGACATCGCAAGAGACGCGGAGACCCTTCGCCTTGGCGAGCTTGATGAGCATCAAGTCCTCCTCGTGCCAGACGTCGGTGATATGGAGAGGGCGAGAGTGTAGCGAAGCGAGGAGGAGCATGCTCGCGAGGTCCGCGCCTTTCGCATCCGTGACGATGAGCTTGTCCGCAGGCCAAGCGGCGAAGTGACCCGCAACGACGGACACCTGCGTCGCGACGTTGTCGATGAGCTGCGGGACAAAGAGCGCCTTAACACCGTCCTGGATTGCCTCGTCGAGCTCATGCACATTCGTGCTCGTTGCCGCAACAGCAAGAGCGTAGTTGGCGTAGGCGCGGCCAGCAATGTTCGCGCGCGCCTGGTCGAGTGAGAGCCGGTCGAAGATCTTGTTGCCGTACCCAAGCGCAGTGACAAGCGAAGTAGTGAAGCCAGCACTGAGGGCAGCTTTCGTCGCCTCTGCAAAGTCGTCGCTCCCAGGCGTAGCAAGACCCGGCACAAACGCCGCAAGGTTGACAAGTCCAGGGAACGTATGAGTGATGTGCGACGTCTTAGCGTCCACGGTCGAGACGTTGAGCGGCATCTTGCGCACGAGCGCCTCGGCGAGGATCTTGGCCACCTTGACGTTCGTGATGAGCGGGATGGCAAAGTCGACGGCCATACGACGCGTGCGGTATCCCTTCGAGGCGTAGCTGGCGGGGCGACGGTAGTGGTTCCTCGATGGCAGGTTGATGTACATGTCGATGAGGTTGTTCGCGAGATGCTGCGTGAGGGAGTACTCGCTCTTCTGCGAATCGCGACCGTCTTCGCCAAGCGCCTCTAGGTACTGTAGCAACATATATCAGTACGATCTCGGTGGTATAAGATAGTCGAGACGCACCTTGCACGGCACATTATGCTCCGAGAGGAAATCCGCCGTCCCCGACGTAGCGAAGATATTATACCCCACAGCGCTCAACTTCTGCACCGACGGCAAAAGCTCCAACTTCTCCTTAAACCCACCAATCGAAAACAAGATATTCTTCTTCGGCGGCACAATCCCCGTCGAAATCAGCGCCTTCAGATACGCCTCGTACTTGTCCTTCCCGAAACACGCCACCTCGCCCGTAGACGCCATCTCAACGCCCAGCACCGGATCCGCGCCGCTCAGACGCGAGAACGAGAACTGCGGGACCTTCACGCCGACGTAGTCCGCGGGCAGCGGGGAGTCGGGGTACGGCTCGACCGGGAGCCCGATCATGACCTTCGTGGCCATCTCGATCGCGTCTATCCCGGTCGTCTTGCTCACGAACGGGAACGAGCGCGCCGCGCGCAGGTTACACTCGATAACCTTGATCGCGTTGTCCTTCGCGATGAACTGGATATTGTACGGGCCCGTCACATTCAGCGCGTTCCCGATCTTCGCGGTCGCCTCCACGATCTGCTGCACCGTCACCGGGTCCAGATCCTGCGGCGGATGTATAAGCGTCGCGTCGCCCGAATGCACCCCGGCGTTCTCGACGTGCTCCGACACGTAATGCATGATCATAACGCCGTCCTTCGCCACGGCGTCCATCTCGATCTCCTTCGCGTTCTCGATGTACTTGCTGATCACGACCGGATGCTCGCGCGAGACCGCCGCCGCCTGGCCCAGGTAGTTCGCCAGGTCCGCCTTGGTGCTCACGACGTTCATCGCCGCGCCCGAGAGGACGTACGACGGGCGCACGAGCACGGGGTAGCCGACCTTATTGCAGAACGCCTCCGCCTCGTCCAGACTCGTCAGCTCCTTCCACTCGGGCTGGTCCACGCCTATCTCGTCGAGCAGCCGCGAGAACTTGTACCTGTTCTCCGCCGTATCGATCATCTCCGGCGACGTCCCATAGATCCGCACATTCTGGCGATGCAGCGGCAGCGCGATGTTGTTCGGCGTCTGGCCGCCCATACTGAGCATAACCCCGCGGCTGCGCTCCGTGTCGTAGATATCCAGAATCGTCTCGAGCGAGATGTTCTCAAAGTAAAGCCTGTCCGCCTCGTCGTAGTCCGTGCTGACCGTCTCGGGGTTATAGTTGACCATGATCGTCGGCAAGCCCTGCGCGCGGAGCGTGCGGATGGCGCGCACGGCGCACCAGTCGAACTCGACGGAGGAGCCGATGCGGTACACGCCCGAGCCGAGGACCATGATACCGCGGTCCGTGAAGTCGATGTCGTGCTCGAGCGCGTTGTACGTCGTGTAGAGGTAGTTCGTGAACGCCGGGAACTCGGCGGCTACTGTGTCGATCTGCTTGACGAAGGGGTAGATCCCGCTCTCTTGCCTCACGCGCCGGATGGCGATCTCGTTCGAGCCGACGCAGGCGCCGAGCTCGCGGTCGGAGAACCCGAGCTGCTTCGCACGGCGGAGCATGTCCGGCGTGAGCGTCGTTATAGTCTCGTTCCTAAGCTCAAGTTCAGCACACTCTCCCCACATGCAAAGCACCAAGGACTACTCACGAAAGCGCAACCTCCATCTTGAAGATATTCTGCAACTTCGTAAGGAACCACTTGTCGATGTTCGTCATCTGCCAGATCTTGTTCACAGAGTACCCGCGGTGGAACGCCGTCGAGATCGCAAAGATACGCTTGTCCGTCGGATTGACCAGCTCCTCGTCGATATCCTCCACGTAGTCGTTCTGCACCCATCCTTCATCAGTCTCCTTTCCATCAGCAAAAAGGTTGGGTAGGTACCTTGGCGAACCCAGCAAACTGATCGTCAATCGCTCGAATAGCCTTCTGAATCGTCTCCTCGAACGTCCGGCCAATACTCATAACCTCGCCCACAGACTTCATGCTCGAACTCAGCAGCCTGCTCACGCGCGAGAACTTCTTCAGGTCCCAGCGCGGGATCTTCACGACGACGTAGTCAAGCGAGGGCTCGAAGCATGCCGAGGTGACCTAGAGTAGTCACGCCACCAAGTAAGCAAGCACAGCCCTTGCGATGCTGAAACGGGAGCCCACCTTCGTGACGCTATTCTTAATCTCATTCAGCGGGATGTTCAACCCCAGCTTCGCAGCCGTATACGCAAGCGGGTACCCCGTCGCCTTACTCGCGAGCGCCGAACTGCGCGACAAGCGCGCGTTGACCTCGATAATGCAGTACTCCCTGCTCGTCGGGTTGAGCGCGTACTGGATATTGCATTCTCCGATGACGCCGAGGTGGCGGATGACGTTGATGGCCGTCGTGCGCTATATACTCATAAGCAGGAGTGTTCAAGAAGAGGAGAGGGAAGAGGGGGCGTACGAGCATGTTGTAGTCGACATCGCTGAGTGTCTGGCTGGGCGCGACGACGATGCTGTCTCCAGTATGGATACCAAGCGGGTCAAAGTTCTATAGATCATCATCAGTATACCATCCAGCAGCAGAGGGATAGAAAGAGATCGAACGCACCTCCATATTACAAACCGTAATACAATTATCCCTACAATCCCTCACGACCTCATACTCAATCTCCTTCCACCCCTTCATACTCTTCTCAACCAGCACCTGCGGACTCGTCGCAAACGCCTTCTCACACAGCGCCCTCAGCTGCCCCTCATCCTTCGCGAACCCGCTCCCGAGCCCACCAAGCGCATACGCCGCGCGCACAATAACCGGAAACCCGATCTCAGCCGCAGCCGCGACGGCCTCGTCCGGCGTCGTCGCTGTCGCAGACTGCGCGCAGCGCTCGCCGATCTCGAGCATGGCGGACGCGAAGAGCTGGCGGTCCTCGGTCATGATAACCGTCTCGATGGGCGTGCCGAGGACCTGGTATGGAAGCTGTCAGCTCGAGGAACGCGGCTAGCCCAGAGCGTGCGAACTGCGCGCCACAGCGGATGAATGGAAGCTGACCTTGACGCCCATACCCGCGAACTCGTCCTTGAGCGCGATACCGACGTTAAGCGCCGTCTGGCCGCCGAAAGTGACGTAGATACCGTCCGGGCGCTCGTACGAGATGACCTTGCGCACGAACTCGGGCGTCACAGGGAGGAAGTAGACCTATCGCGTATACAGATGAGCAACCTTTATACGCGTCTCAGATGCGGAAAACGTACCTTATCAGCCAGCCCAGTGCTCGTGGCGATGGTAGCAATGTTCGGGTTGATCAGAACCGTATAGATCCCCTCCTCCTTAAGCGCCTTGATCGCCTGCGACCCCGAATAATCGAACTCGCCCGCCTGCCCAATGCTCAACCCGCCACTGCCCAGAATCAACACCTTCTTAACATCCACACGCGGGCTCCTCGCCTCGTTCTCCGCCTTCACGCCCCCGGGCATAACAATCCCCTTCGGCAACGCCCCCGCGGACGGCGCGAGCGACTCAAGGATAGACGACAAGAACACGTCGAACAAGAACTCCGTATCGCGCGGCCCGGGCGTGCTCTCGGGGTGGAACTGCACGCTGAACACCCTCCTCCCGACCCACTCAATACCTTCATTGCTCCCGTCGTTCGCGTTCCGGAACAGCTCCCTCCACCCCTCCGGCAGCGTGTCCCGGTCCACCTCGAACCCGTGGTTCTGCGACGTGATGTAGCAGCGCCCCGAGTGCGCGCACGTGCACGGGATGTTCGCGCCGCGGTGGCCGTACTTCATCTTGCGCGTTTTGGCGCCGGCTGCGAGCGCGAGGAGCTGGTGCCCGAGGCAGATGCCGAAGATGGGCGGGAAGTCGGGCGTGGTGAGGGCCGTGCGGATGCGGTCGATCGTTGCGGACACGGATGTGGGATCGCCAGGGCCGTTGGAGATGAACAGGCCGTCGAACGCTTCCTCGCTCTTGCTCAGGAAGTCGTGGTCCCAGGGAACAACCTTGACCTCCACACCGCGCTTAGTGAAGCAGCGAATCTGGTTGTACTTCATGCCAACGTCGAGCGCAAGAACACGGATGGGTCTGCCAGACGGGTGGCGTTTGACGAGGTCGGCAGCGCATGTAGGCGGGTAGACGCGCGGTGCGGAGATGGAGACTTGCGCGACGAGGTTCTGCGCGTTAGGGTCGGAGAACGCGATAGGAATATAGTCCTCCCTCCAAGCTTCACGACCGGGGCTTCCAGCACGGCTAGGCGGTACACTCGCGGACTGCTGAAGCGCACGTGCGCGGCCTGACGGCGCCGTCGGCGAACGCGCAAGGATACGGGCGAGCATGACACCCTTCTCGCGGATCCTCTTCGTGAGCGCACGAGTATCAACACCACAGATCGCCGGGACATTGTTCTCCTTCAACCACTGCCCGAGCGAGCTCTGCGCCAAAAAATGCGAGAAATCCGGGGAGTAGTCGCCCACGATCAGCGCCGCCGCGTGGATCTTGCTGCTCTCAAAGTCCTCGGGGAGCTCCTGCACGATGCTGGTCGGGTCCGGCTTCGGGCGGGCCGGGACGCCGTAGTTGCCGATGAGGGGGTAGGTGAGGATGAGGATCTGGCCGGCGTAGGACGGGTCGGTGAGCGACTCTGCGTAGCCGACCATGCCGGTCTGGAAGACGGCCTCGCCCGCGATACTCACGCCCTCGGCGCCAAACGACTGCCCGCGAAATGCCGAACCGTCCGCGAGCTCGAGCACCGCGTCCAGCGCGCCCTCCACAGACGCCGATGCCGGTGGCGCGGGCACGTTGAGGCCTGTGGGCGTCCTGGAGATGACGGGCCGTTGAGGGCGCAGAGCAGCTGCGGCGAGATCAACCATATTTTTGGGTGAAGATCGTAAGATCTAGACAGAAAGGAGTGATTATTTTTTGCAGAGTCTAGCTACCGTTCCTTCTTCACGGCGTCGGTGTCGGCCAGAGCTCAGAGCAAGCTGGTAGGCAAGGGCGGCGTGAAGAAGGAAGAGGAACTCGAAAATTCGCCCCGCGCTTTTTCTCTCTGTTCTCTGCGCAGGTCACGTGTGTTCTCACGCTAGGACGACGTCCAAGGCGCTTGCGAGGCGCGCAGTACGGATCTCCGCGTACGACAACGGCTTGCGGGGCAAAGGGCGCGTCATATTGTTCGAGAAGGACAGACGATGGCGCGCGAGCGTCATGGGTGTCGGGAGGAAGGATGTTGATGGGAGCGCTGGCGATGATACCGGCGGCCGTCGCTGCCTGTATGGGCGCGTGGGAGGATCTTCATTGAGCGCGCGTGGCGGCGGCGGTAGATCGTTGTGGGTCCTGCCTTGCGTTGAGATCGAACCACCACCATGTCTTCCAGACCCGTGCCAATAACGTTGTCGAAATATGATCTGTTCATCACACTGCTCCGTATCCCCATAAGCTTTGTGAGCTGTGCCGGTGGGAATCCATGACAAGGACATCCATCTCCCTCTTACCCGAGCTGACAAAAGGTAGCGATGGCGACACGAAGCGGTTCTTCTACGACAATGCTCTCTCTATGAAGCCTGCCTGGCGTTTGTGCGATGAATGCTGCGGAGGACTTGTCTTCTCCATTATGTATTGCTCGGGTTTTATCCTCGAACACTACGATGCTTCAACAAGGGCCAGTATCCAATACAAGTGTCTATTCTCTTCACGATCAGTATAAAAGGGCTTGCGTAGGGTCTGGTATCTCATCATCATCCTTACCAGCCTCCTTCTGCACTATGGACATCCTCGCTACGCACGATACTCTCAGAACTGCGCAACAAGAGCAGCTCATGCCTCGATTCGACCTATCCCCGTACGAGAAGTGCATCGAGTACGACATACCGTTTCTTCTCCATCTTCCGCAATCACCTGTGCGCCAACACGACCATCATCCGGTATACGTTGCGTGGCCTGAGGAGATCATGTATGCGAGCCGCACGACGAAAGGATATGCTTACACGGAGTACTTAGAGATCGCAGACGCGCCAGGCTTCTATGCCCCCAGATTCGTGAAACCTGCCGCGACAAAAGACCTAGTGGTAGGGATGAACAAGGTAGAGCATCTCTGTCATACGCATCTTTCCATTGCGCTGAACAACATCTCTGTACTAGGATTCGCAATTCTCGTACAACAGACGACCCAATGGGGGCCGCTCTGAATGCCGCCGTCCACGAGAGCATGAAATACCCGAGTCTGGCTTGTCCGTATGGCCTCAGGCAGCTCAGAATTATTTTAGATACAGAGATCTCAAGATTTGGATCAAGGCTTCGGGTGACGAGGACAAACTTGTAGCCTTTCTGAGCGAGCACAGGAACAAGAAGCACGGGGTCATCTTGATCGCCCGCTCGGTGAGCGCTCATTCATCGCTCAGGGCCTGTCGTTGAGCGCTAACGGATAAACACATGACAGGATCTTTCCGGCAATAGTGTCACCAAAGTGCGCGAAGGACTGACGATCACCAAGCGTTCCGATTCTGTCCAAGCAACGACACACAGCCAAATGTACGAAGACATTGAAGTGGAACAGCTCTGGAAAGCGACGACTGGAGTTACCGGTGGCAGTTTGAATACCGGTCATCCATTACTTGATCAACTCTGGCGAGAGAACGCGAGGAAAGCCATCAGGGCACGCTCGCTCGGACTCTCGGAAACTCAACAACGAGATTCTCTTTCGGATCGTTCAAGGACCTCTACATTGCCGACAATCACACCTGCGTATCCTGGCACCCGCAACTCTTCGTCTACAGATGCACTGGGCGCCACATTCGCAAGCAGTCTGACTCTCAGCGAAGGACATCTGGTTCAACAAGATCATCGCTCACCGACGCAAAGGCACTCAATTGACTCTAGAGCTTACGCTACGCCGCCATACACGTCTCCTGCTTCTTCTTCATATCAATCGCCCAGTGTCAACACGCAGGAGACGCGACAGAGTCGTCATCATACTCATCGTCCTGAAGCGTCTCACTATCCTGCAGCTGCGTTCCACTCCTCAAGCCACACCCTCGCCCCATATCAACACATGACCACTCAACACCATGATTGGCAGCATCAACCGGTGCACAACTCCCCGCAAGTGAACGTGCAATACGCACAGCAGTACTCAACACAGGCCGGCGCGAACGGATACGGACCAGTCGATGCAAGTGCGCGAGCTCCGACAGCATCTACTAGCAACAGTGCTTCCGGAGCTCTGGTTGGGATGTACGACGTTTCTATGTGTACAGCGATGCCTACGCAGTTCGGTTCAGGAGGTGCAGGTAACAATCAAGCTGGGCAGAACCAGAATGTAAGACGCGCGCCGACGAACCACTCGCAACAAGCGTACTATCCGACACAACCCGGTCCATACTAGCGCCTCTGATCTTTCCCATTGTGTATGTAGTAGTACTCGCTTAGACGAATGATGATGATATCCTTGTGTTGTTGGCCAATGACCGACGGAGAAGGGCAGCCTTCAGAAGCATAGTCCAGTACCTAGCACGAGGAATGAAACGACCAGTGCATCGACGAAGTGGTAATGACACGCGCGCGGGGTGAGGTCGGGGCGTGGTACCCGCAGTAGCGGTGCTCGTGTGTCCAAGAGATATATGGACCACTATCCTAGTGTACCCGACGCTTGGCCTTGTAATCTGAGCAGGAACAAACAGGCTTTTATGACCGAGCAATTGGATACTAGTACAAAGTGATGAAGCAGACAAAGTGAAACCGAGACCAGAACAAGACACCCTGGCGGGAGACGGCGCGCGTGGTCGTCACTCTAATATACAGTGAAGTACTCAGACTTTGCGAGCCCGGTCTGAACGAAACTTGGCTCCCAACTCTCCACGTCGCAGATATCGGGGCTTGTGAACCAGTCCCAGACAAGCCATCCGTCGCCCTCAGGGTTCTCAGCGTCCACATCCTCCTCAATCCCCTCGAAATCCTCAGGAACGAAAGGCACTTCATGGTCTACGGGCCCCGCTTCCTCTCCCCTCGCCTGGCGCTCCTGCGTTACGCGGAGATCGCGCCTGGCCCGCGCCTCCTTGACGACTCTCAGCGCGCGCTCCCGCTCCGCCTGTATGAGCTTAGGTACGTCCTTCGCCGTGTAAGGCGCAGCTTTCTGCCTAGCCATCTCCTTGTTCCCGCGAAGAAGGGCCTTCCACGCCATACGCTTCTTCCACCACTCATCCGCAGAGCGCCTATGCTCCAAATACTCGGTATACATCTCCTCCTTCCGGTCCGGCTCATCCGCGTACAAAACTGGCTCCAACTCGTCGTCGCTGAACGTCTCGTCCTCCCACTCCAGACACCCCTCATCCCTCGTAACCGCCAGTTTAATCCGCCTGTCGAGCTCCGCGCGGCCCTTAGAGCGCCTGTTCTGCTCGTAGCCGAGGATAATGCGGGCATGCTCGACCTGGCTCTTCGCAGCGTCAACAATCGCCTTAGCCTCGGCCTCGAGCCGGCGGACGTTATCCTCCTGCAGCGCAATATTACGCAAGAATGCAAGAGAGTCGGTGTTCCTTGTATGTGCCGAACTAAGGGCGTCCTGTGCTTCGTGGAGAGCGCCAACCTCGGCGTTGGAGAGAAGGAACACATTGCGCTCCCGCCTGAGACTACGTTGCGGGTGAGATGGTGCTGGTTCCGTTGCATACTGAGCTGAAGCAGAAGACGCGGGTACCCGGGTAGAGGCTGCGGCGTGTGCGGCATCGATATCTTGCGAAAGGTCGACGACCTCCTCGCGAGGCTCTGCAGCGGTTGCAGCGGGAGGATGCGCCAGATTGCGCGCCGGGGAGTGTGGCGTAGGAGGCGAGGCCGGAGAAACGACTTTGCCCTTGCCCTTCTGAGCGGCAGTCAGACGAGGCGAGTTGGGAGGTGAAGGCGTTGCGCGGTCTTGCTCGGCGGTGGAGGGCTCCTGAGAAGCAGGCAAGGTTGATGTACGGCGCTGCTGCTTGGCCGGGCGTTCGCTGGGGTCTTCTTCACTCTCGCCTTCCTGCATGTCGTCCTCCTCGCTGTCGCGCGTACGCTTGCCAAGGTTGGAGGGCTTGGCGGGGGCGTATGACTTGCGCTTGCGCGATGAGCCATTCGCCTGTGTGTTGGGCTCGGCGAGAGGCGCCGTGGCCGGACTGTCAAGCGTAGAAACCGCGGGAGAGGGATACGAGTTTTGCGAGGTAGCGCTGATGGAAGCCTCGGCGGCCTCGGCGGGAGCGGCGGTGGTTTGGTTCGCGAAGGCGTGATCGGGACGTGTGCCGTCAACGTCAACCACAACGGGCTGCGCCTGAGAACCTTCGCCGGCGCCAGTAGTGCGGTTGAGCATGCGACGGGCGGCTTCGTTGGTGCTTGAGATCGAGAGCAGCGCGGCGCTAATGACCTCGTCCTTGACGGCGTGTTCCTCGGCCGGGTCAGCGATCTCGCCATTACGAAGGCGCTGCTTGCTGCCCTCGATATCGAGCCTGTGGTTCACGGCCTGGGCGTTGCTCGACCCAGCCGGAGGAGACATCGGGGCGTTTTGAGGAGTCCAAGGAGCAGCCCACTTCATCCTGTGACCAGCGAGGATGGTGTCGTCTGCACCGAAGAGTGCTGTGGCGATGTCCTTGCGCGCCATCTCGGGGTCAAGGCCGTTACGCTGTGGACGGTAGATGAGTATGAGGAAGCGTATCTTTACTTTGCACACGTACCTCGGCATACTGCTTGACGATCGCAGCGCTAAGCTTGCTGAATTGTTGCTTGGTGAGGACTTGTACTTTTTCCTCCACCGGCGAGGTCGAGCGCTTCGAGGGCGCGGCCTTGCTTCGAGTGGTTCTCTTAGTACCAGCCATGTCGAGGATAGAAGTGTTGTGGGGAGAGGTGTGAGAGAAGTAGGATGGACGTCGGTGGGAGGGGGAAGTTCGACGGCGCGAGAGAACAAGATGGGTGTTCAGGAAGAAGAGGCGCGTGGCGCGCGGCGAGAGTTATAAGTCCGACCAGAACAATGAGATTGTGGTTGTATCGCCCGCGCCCGTGCGAAAGCAATCTAGCCCTTGTTGATGGTATGGTTCGGAGATCTACACGGGAAGTCAGCCTGATACGGCAGTCTAGCGAGCACGCCCACATCGGCCGTCACCGAAGATGTGCATACCTTTCTCCTCGCATGCCCACAGTACTGCACCCCGACCAAGAGGAGGTGCAGGGCACGGATTCCCTGGGTCCGCCCTGCTGACTCTGAGCTCGGTCGTCGACATCTCCGCCACAAAAGAGGGACAAAAGATCAAGTGAGACAGGCCCTGGCCAACAAGAGTACACGATGTACTCTCCCAATCAACATCTCCTCAAGTCATGCTCTTGCGCACCAAAATACATAGTCCGACCCTGAGCTACTGGATAGTAGAATGGGTGAACATGCCGCGACTCCAAGGTGACTATGGCCCGCAACGATTTCGACGACGCTACGCCATTGCTGAGCTGGAAGCAGCCTCTTGTTCCGCAAAGGGTCGAATACGGCAATTCGGAACAGAAGCGAGATCAGAAGTAGCGAGCACAGCGAGGCTAGTTATACACCCGAGTGCCTTGGTCATTGTTCTCTTGTGAGCCGCGTGTAACGATGCGCTGGCGCTTTTGTTCGTTCGGGTCGCGGCTCCGATCACCGGCCACGGCCACGGCGCTCGGAGGGTATCATTGGCCTATTCACGCGCGTTAACCCATAGCAGTAATAGTACACATCGATGGTATTATAATGTACAACAAGAAGGGCTACAAAACCGATACGCTACAGTAGTACGAGAACATGCACAGAAAGAGTTAGTAGTGATGAATATGCGTCCGTTACACGATATGCCCGGCATCCCTCGCAACATCGCCGCCGCTATGGGGTCGCGTCCCAGGCCACGCTGGAGAAGGAGCGGTCTGCGAATGCACAAGATTGGGCGGCGTGCCGGTAAAGTGCGTGCCGCTTGGCGGGGCCTGTCCCGGCTGAAGGAATGCCGAAGGCTGTTGCGTCGGCATTCCGGACGACATGGCGAAGTAACCTGCGTTGTGGCCCGTATAGTTGCTCGGCGCGGGAGTATGTGCTGGAAGTTGTTGAACAACTTGAGGTAGACCGCCGTGTGGGCTCATGATCGGAGGGCTAGCATACGATCCGGGTGGTACAGATGGCGCTCCGTACCCACTACCCGCGAAAGAAGCAACTGGACCCTGTTGACTACCGCCGCCCCATCTCTGCGTATCCTTTGCGACGGCACTTCCAGTACTCTGTGATTCGGAGCTGAACTGTCCTAGAAGATACTCCAGTTTCGTGCGATAGTACTCGAGCATATGGTCTAGGTGATGACCAGTCTCGCTTCCATGATCAAGATCGAAGGCGTCCATCTCGCGAATGAAATGTGAGAGTTCCTGTAGCGAGTCAGCGCAAGCCAAGACGTGTCAATGGATGGGCACGTACAGCAACACGAATGCGACTGAGCTCAGGCTCATTGCTTCCCCGAACTTTCGCGAGGTAGGTTGCGACGATGGTGCTGCCACCACCCAGGATGGATATAGCGATCGAGGAACCACCGCCGTGAAGAGCGGCACCAAGTCCAGTTGTGAGAGCGCCAAAGACGACTTGAAGCCCAATTGCCGTGTTGAGAATCAACCCCAGCCGCTGCGCTGCAGATATGCATGGATAAATGGTCGTTCAAGAAGGCATGCTCCATAGAGATCTCACCTTTCTTCGCTGCGGCCGTTCGTTGAGCCTCGGCCTCTTCCATCGTCCGGATTATCCGATCATGTATGGTCGCCATATGGCGAGACTAAAACGTGCAAGTCAGCAACGCAGCTAGAGAAAAAAAGGATAAACAATACCTCGCGCTTCTCGCTGAGATGTCTGTCAACTTCCACGAAAGGATCCCGTCCACCATCGCCACCACCTCCAGCTCCGAAAACAGGCGCAGCTCGAGGGCGTGCTGTACTCGTGCTTCGGACACGGGAATGTCGCGCGCTCCGCTCGTTCCGGCCATTCATCTCCCTCGACCGTCCCACTCGTGCCGACGGATCATGTACGGGCTGCTCCCGCGGTATCGCAGCGGGATAAGCGCCTGCTGCCGCGGAATGTTCGCCCTCGCTCGTCGTGGGTCGCCGACTATCGCTATCCTGGCGGCGGATACTTGAACCAGCACCACTGGGAGAAAGTGCGCGTACAGGAACCCGAGCGAACTCGTCAGAGCCAGGTATATCAATACCCGAATACGCGCTCCTACGCCCACCTCCAGGTATTGTATACGCCGGGGTAGGAGGTGCGGGGAGGTCACGGTCGTGCCCGGGTGGCGGCAGCGAGATGCGTGTGGGCCGAGGCGCGCGCGCACCATCGGGCATGCGATCGTTGCGAAGGAGATCTAGTTGAGCGGACTGCTCGGCGAGGGATGCCATCGGTGCGGGAGGCGGCGACGTCTGTGTCCGAGGCGCGGGCTCAGGACCACGGTGCGTGGCGCCATGAAGAAGCGAACCGAGATGCGTGAGTGCGTCGCCGATGTGAAAGGGGTCACCACCATGGGCGCCGACGACCTCACGAACATCCGAGCCCAACTTTCCTGCTCCGGAGAGTGCGGTTCCAAGGCGGCCGAGAACTTCAGCGCCAGGTGCCAAAGCAGGCGCATCATGGGCCGCCAATGCACCCAGACGCGACAGAGTCTCACCGCCGCGCGATAGTGCATCTGGGTCGGCAGCAGACTGGGCGACGCGAGAGACGTGCTCGGCGTCAACTTCGATGCGCGGCGGGATCTGCACGTTGCCTATGTTGAGCTCCGATCTGACGTTTCTCTCGAAGTTCGCGGTGCTGTTCAAAGCAGAGCCCGCACGACTGAGAGCGTCAGCGCCCGGTGCGAGGATCGGCGCATCTTTCGCAAGAACAGCCCCGACACGAGTAAGCAGGTCACCTCCCTGTGCAAGAGCATCCGAATCTGCACTTGGACCGGATCGCGGAACGTGCGTGGCGTTGACTTCGGAGCGGACGTCGTTCTCCAGACGCTCCACGCCAGTAAGCACCCCTGCAAGGCGGCCAATAGCATCCGCAGATTGTTGTGCGGCGGCAAGATCAGTTCCTTTCGCCGTTGAAGCCAAGATGTCGCGAACGCGCTCCGTGGTATCTGCAGAGAGACCGAGGGCGCCATCTGGTCCCCGTGCGGCTCCTGATGCGAGTTGCTCGCGAACATCAGACTGAAGGTTGCCCGTGTTGGAGAGCAGCTCGCCGAGACGCGCGAGCGCATCACCTCCCTGAGCGAATTCGGGCACGTCCTTGGCAAGCACGGCACCCAGAGCTGCGAGTAGTTCGCCGTTGTTGGTGAGAACGTCCGGATTCGATGAGCGGGGAGAAGACGCTGGACTGGGAAGCGCAGCCGCGGGAGAAATAGCCGGCTTGTTCGGTCCGGCGTTCGCCTCGAGAGCTTCGTTGGACTGGGCAGAAGACATGGCGTCGTGAGCCCTCGCGAAAGACGGCAAGGCAGCCTGCGCTTGCTGAGCAACTCCTTTATGTCTCCAGGATAATCTGGCTTGACAGGCTTCCAATTGATCGACCCCTAGCGTGTACAGTTAGCTGCGTGGCTACCAAAGCGCCGAATCAGCGATTGAATTCACTCCACCCGGACACAGCGCTCACCAATAGGCCGATACGGAGGAGAAGCATAGATCAAAGACAAGAAGAGATGGATCCTTAAGCATCCCGGTCTCGCAAGCATGCCGCGTACAGCAGGTAGCTCACGCAAAGAAGGCGTGTCGGCCTCGAGGCCCGAGGTTCCGTATCGATGGGCATTATTCTTCGAGAGTTGTCGAGAGATTTCGTGCGGCCGCGCCCACGAGATTGCATCTCCACTGACTGCTCGCTTGCATTCCGCCGCCGTCAAGAGTGGAGTGTGTCACTCGTGTAAGACGTAGACAGATGGGCGCGAACGTGCGGCTATCCCAATTTGCGGGGTCAATGGTCACTGACGTTAGATGCAGTTATTGGCACCTTGCGCCCGAGATCAATCGCTTGCGAATAGATTCGCGAAACCCACGCGCGAATCCGAGTCCCGTTCTGGTTCAGAGCCCCGACGGTAAAGTCTGGGTTAGACTGAGTTGCACGGGCCTCGGGAAGACGATAGGGCACGGAAGACGGCGGAAGCGCGAAGAGCGGAGACTTGTGAGCGCAAGGGCAAGCCCTGTCCGAAGCGATGGACTTTGCACTTCGCAACCGGTTAATCACTGGTAGACGATGTTGGTATCAGGCAACGTTGCGGCGAATCAAAGTACCGGCGAATGAATCAGTCCTAGTACCCTATGCAGCCTTCGCATCTGTAGGTCTAGAATCCTGATAGCGATTCGTGAGACGAGCGTCACGGGCCCATCATGTATCGCGTTGACAGCAATGTGTACGGATTTAGAAGAAACGAGAGCGCCAGAAGTCGGTGGCTGGAACGACAGCAAAGTAATGTAGATTCGACCACGCATCCGGTCGCACAGCACAGCCCGCCAATCAGACAGGCCGGCTAGTGTTTGGAGAACAGTCATGAAGGTTGGGAAGAAGGTGTAATTGCCTTGACGGTCCTCGTCACCGCGTTGATGAAGGGAGACTGTCAGATCTCAGGCTCAGATTCGCTCGCGGACTCCTCTCCTCGGTCTCAAGATGACGTCGACTTGGCATGGGCCGCAAAGTTCAACTGGCGGGGGTGGCCGCTACCAAGCTACACAGAGCGTATATCAAGCTAGGACCGGACAGTGGCAATGTCCCAGCGTCGCGCTCGTCGCCCACCAATGAACCGTTTGCGATTGCTGCAATCTGATTGGCCCGGGGATAGATGCAAGATCAAAAGGGTCCGCTCGCGCGTGAGTGTACCTTCGCGGTCTTGATGTCAGACACAGGTGTGCGCGGTCGAGGGGTGTTGCTTATAGTACTTGCCTCTCGCCACATCGACAGCCACTACGTTTTACGCCTGATATTCTGCCCTCAAACCTCTCTATACAACTCGAACTGCCGCCTAGGAAATGCTTCACGCTTACATAGCGAGGGTGGCACGCGCGCATGACTTCGAATCGCTCGCACGCAAAGGGAAGATGCCCGCGGATGAGGCAGAAACTCCTGTATCGCTACGAGTAGGCATGCTACTGCTTATCTTCTTCGTATCACTGTTCGGTGTGTTCTCTATGTCTCCGAATGGATATTTCATCCTATCTCATCGTGCTAACCGTCTGATAGCCGCGTCCTTCCCCACGATCACTCGACGAGTGCGCCGATTGAGGATACCTGGCATCCTATTCTTCATTGGGAAACACTTTGGAACCGGTACGTAACACTCAACTCTGTCGCATAGATTACACTTAACTTGGTCATAGGTGTTATTCTCTCGACTGCTTTCGTACATCTCCTGCAAGATGCTTTCTCGAGTCTGCAAGACCCCCGAGTCAAAGAGCGGACCAGTCTCGGGCATTGGACAGGACTCCTAGTGTACGCCTCTTTCTGTCAATTGATGTGAACCGGCTCCTGACAATACCATAGGTTAGGCTCTCTGCTTTTGATATTCATGGTGGAATGTATGAATCTCGCTCAGATGGTCTAACAAGCCCTCTCAACTGACGAACATTCAGATATCTCCACTGCCTACGTGGATAGGCTGCACTCTTACGACTCTGTTCCTGCGTCTCCCGCAGCTGAACGTGCGTCCGTTTTCTGACGCTCGCAGAAAGCCTTCTCATCAAATAATTACAGCGGCTGAGCTCCCACAACCCGATACCTCGTCAGTCTCTGACACCACGCTTGCCGCCGTCTGTGAAGCTCGTACAGACATGAATGAACGCACTCCACTGCTCGCGGGGGCATGCCCTGCCAGCGCTCCCGCCACCGCCAACGATGCCAACCCGTTCTTCTCAGGGCACCACCGCCACGAATCCCGCAGGTCGCACGATGATCATGGGCGCCCCTGTCATCCTCGTCTCGGTGTCACATACGAGACGCGCAGACCGTCAGAAGACGACGTCACCAAACCCGCGTCTGCACCTGCGCAACAAGACTCCTTCCGCCATGCCCACAGACACGGGCACGGACACCATCACGACCTGCACTACGATTTCGACGAGGAAGTCGAGCGTGGGCTGGAGGCCGAGGTCGCTCATTCGCACACGCATCATCGCCATGAAGACCACGAGGCTATTATTGGACGTAAACGCCAGATCGTCGGCATTCTCGTTCTGCAAATGGGCATCATGCTGCATTCGGGCGTGATTGGACTCACGCTGAGCATCACCTCTGGTCCCGACTTCACGTCGCTCGTCACCGCCATCCTCTTCCACCAACTGTTTGAGGGTCTGAGCCTCGGTGTACGCATCGCCGGTCTCCCGCTCCCGCGCACTGGCACGAGTTCTCGCTTCCTCAAGCCTTCGCTCATGGTCCTTTTCGCCCTCACCACGCCGCTCGGGATGACTATCGGTCTCTTGACCCTAGGTGGCGCGGATCCCGTCAAGCTTATGCTGGCCGAGGGAATCCTGAGTGCTGTCTCGGCTGGCATGCTGATCTACGCCGGCTGTGTCGAGATGCTTGCTGCGGACTTCGTGCTTGACCCGGATATGGCTCGCGCGCCAATCAGGAAACAGGCAGGGGCGCTGCTGGCGGTGTTGGCGGGCATGGCGGGCATGACCTTCCTTGCTATGTGAGTAGTCCCATTTCCCGCTCAAGCCCATCACTGACTCGATTGCGCAGTGTACATTGAATGGAGCCAACGTAGATCTTTCGACATGCTTTCGATACATGCTTTATATCTTGCAACACGGATCTTGGATTTGTATATTATATACCTGTGTATTGTCTGTACTAGAGGCATAGTTCCCATATACTCATATCGTATCTTGAAAGGAAATGCTGCAGATGCAGCCGCATACCTCGTGTTAGCCCGTATAAGTCCAAGTAGGTGCCCAAATAGGCAGATGCCCGAGCCAAGCCTTCTACAATCTTACGGCGCTACTGGGCTGTTCAGGTGATTGCAGAGTGTACACATCGTGTAGCCAGTTCACCTGTTCATTCGCTCGGTGTTCGGCCACTGTGTGTACTGGTAGCGCTCAAAGGATGGCAGTTGAACCTCGTTTACTCAATAGACACTCAAGGGCCTCCACAACTAGGCATAGCGCTGCCCGTTGCGATAGTCTGCTGTACGCCGGTGCGATTGATACGCTTGCCAATGCATAGGAGCACGATAGTCCATTCATCGGTACTCGGCCAGCGTGCGGGATGTACAGCCACAAGAATACTCGTTTATTGACCTGTGGATAGAGCTGCGACGATTGTGAGGAACGTTTGCTTTCAAGTTCCGTTTGTCTTGAGTGACTTCGCTTAGTTATGAAGTTTTATGAGGCGGACAATAAGTATCTCTGTATCCGTGCAACGTATCGTCGCTGCTTCGCGGAGTCCGACAACGAATGCAATGGGTGATAGAAGACTCCGTGGCATATCATGCCCATGCCGCGGCGCAACTGCCCATGCGATCCTTGTGTGCAAGACATGGTACGTGGGGTACCATACACGGTCGACGGGATTTTCGAGGGTCCAAGATACCGGATCAGTATTGTATTGTTGAGCCGCGTGTCCTGATATAGACAGATAGCACTGTAGTTCTCAATGGTGAGCACAGCCAAGCCATGCAAATAGCGTCTTTGCCCGACCCTTGCCCGAACGATAAGGAACGCTCAAGGGGAGCTTTGGACATCTTCTGGCACTTATATCGAAGTCAAAGACACGTCGGAAATCCGCGCACAGGTTGCGAAATGAAGGGGCGGGCCATGAAAGCCGTCCCAAACCAAACACAGATGGTGGGGACAGGACCGCGACGCGCCTGCAGCGAACTGTGCTCGTTTTGATCGCGCCGGAATTCCGAGCCCTGCCCGACGTTGCCTTAAACCACCAGGCCTTCTTCTTTTCAATACGTTGCATCCGCCAGCCCAATTGATGAACCTGTGCTATTAGGGTTCGGGAGGAGATTATGCGTGGGCCGCCGTACACGGATGCATATAAGGATGGTAGAAAAAGTAGCGGGCGGGCGCCTTGCGCATTCCCCGTCCCTCCCTAGTACTCTTCTCTTTCTCCCGCTTCCGACTCTCTTGCTCTCCTTCGCTGCGTGAGCATCCATGGCATACCTACTGTACAAGTACATTCGCAACAAGCGGAGGGAGAAGCGAGCTCGCGCCGCTGAGGGCACTTCTGGGCTGCACTCCGACTCTGATGGCTCGGCACCGACGTTGAGACAGACGCGTTCTGAGACCCCAGTGAAGGAGGAGTTGTCGCCAGAGGAAGTCTACCGTATCGGTTCTTGGACTATCAAGCGTAGTATGCTTCACAATCTTGTCCTGCTGGTCGCCCTTGCTTTCCCAGTATATCTCGAGACGCTTGACTATACCGGTATGTGCATGAGTCATCGTTCACCTTGACGCATCTGATGTATACTTCGTCCAGTCGTCGCCACCGCGCAACCCATCATCGCGTCTCACTTCGACCGTCTCGACCTACAAAGGCATGTCACAACACCTCACTATACCAACTATGTGCTGACGCTTACTGTGCAGCTGGATTGGAGAGATCTACCTTCTAACCTCCACCGTCTTCTTGCCACTATATGCGTCCGTCGCGGATGTATACGGACGACACTTTGCCCTACAGTCTAGCCTCTTTTTGTTCTTGATCGGAAGCGCAATATGTACCGGCTCGATGAACATGCCGACGATGCTCGTCGGACGTGGTATCTCCGGTGTCGGCGCCGCCGGGATGTTGACGGTGAGCAATACTTCCGCGTCTGCTCGAGGTCAACGCACTGATGCGACGTCCCTCTCAGCTACCACGTATCATTCTCGCGGACACCGCATCTGTTGGTCAGCAGGCGAATCAGACCAGTATCCTCTTCGTACTCTATGCCATCGGTTACTGCACAGGCCCTATCATTGGAGGAGCACTCTCAACCGTCAACTTCCGCTGGATCTTCGCGATCAACTTGCCCGTCACCGTTCTCGCCATGGTCCTCGCCTTCCTACTTTTACGTGGGCATGCGCACGAGGTTGACCATACCGAGGAGCGCGTCCGCCGCATCCAAGGCATGTCGCGCCTCAGCAAGATCTCAGCGCTTGATTGGCTCGGCACGGGTCTATTCGTTGCGGCTGGCATCCTCATCCTGCTCGCCCTCAACTGGGGAAGTCTCCAGGAGTGGGACTCGACGAAGGTCATCGTGTGCTTCGTTGTTGGCGGTGTGATCTTCGGGCTCTGCCTCGGCTGGGAGGTGTACATGCAGCGCCGCCAGGCGGCCAACATCGACAGTAGGCTCGGCAAGATCTTCCCCATGCTCCCGACCGTCATCTTGTTAGTCCCAAGTCTTCATCTCTCCCCGCAATCGTATCGCTGACCATGTTCATAGCACGAGCATCGATGTCGTCGCCTGTCAAGCAGTCACCTTCGCCGCCGGCATGGTCATGCTCGTCATGTTCTACTACCTCTCCATCTTCTACGCCATCGTCCAAGGCACCGACGCGACAAACTCTGGTGTACAACTCCTCTACTTTGCGCCCGGTCTCGGCGTCGGCTCCATCCTCAATACGATCCTCATCAAAGCAACGGGTCAGCCGAAGTGGGCTATGACGCTCGGCACGATGGTCACGACCGTCTCTCTGGGTGTCATCAGTATGGCCGTGCAGGAGAATGACCAGGGTTTGGTGAAGGGCATGCTTGTCATGGCGGGCGCGGGTGTGGGCTTGTCATTCGCACCTGCTGCCGTGCACGCGCGCTTCGCTCAGCCTGCGAACCGCGTCGCTATCGTCAGCGCCTATCAACGTTTCGTACGTACAAGCCCCTGACCAACCTGAGCATAGGCGCTAACTTGTTCGTATAGTTCCAGTCATTCGGTGGAACCATCGGTCTCGCGCAAGCCGCCGCCGTTCTCAATTCCAAGGTTGCATCCTACCTCAAGAACCTCGTTGTGACTGGCCAAATCTCGCCTGCCGACGCCGCCACCCTCTCCGGATCGAGCGCCACCTCAATCGGCGCGATTAACTCTCTGCCTCCAGCCCTGCACACTGCAGTCCAAGACGCTTTCCGCAGTGGCACGCGCTGGTTGTTCATATCGATGATACCATGGATCGGTGTCACCGTGTTTCTCACGCTGATCCTGTCAAACATCACCGATCCGGAGAAGGAGAAGAAGGCGCAAGCCGCTCAGGCGAAGGAGGGAGAGACTGAGGTGGAGGAGAAGGTGGCGCAGTCGCCTTGAGCTGACAGGGTCTTCTATCTCATACGGGTTTTAATCTATGGACATTCATTATAGCGTAATCTACTTTCTTGTGTAGCATATCCCGGCAGTCTATACCATCCCCGCCTAGAGGCGCTTAACTCTGCCAATCAACACGATTTACTCCCTAGTGATGCCAGTCTCAGAGCACATCTCTTGTGCCTCGTAGTCGTGGTCTCTATGAGGAATGCACCCAACACGCGAGGAGAGACAGACTTGCGCGTGCCGCGAAGATGGTGGTAAGCGCGAAAGGCACGTGGGCGTGTGGATCAGACGCGTACGCGTCGCGCGCTCGAACGCGCAAGTCCCTACCCAGCTTGCCTCCTGCTACGACTACATACTTGCCATGGATCACTTTCCGACAAACTGGGGCAGGCCGGTGCGTGACATATCCATGTATATTGATTATATACTCACCTTACGTAGAGGAATGACGCATTTGATGCGTACAACACCTATCCGCTGCATGTGCGCCCGAACAACGACGTGCGCGATGCGTTCAACGAGGGTGTGCAACACACACAGTGCGTATTCTATTTATTCACGCATCATGCTAATAACTGACTGTCATGTGATATAGACAGCCGATCGTGACTGGTACGAGCGTACTCGCGTTCAAGTACAAGGACGGCATCATGATGGCGGCCGATTGCTTGGCCTCATACGGTTCCCTCGCCCGCTTCAAGGATATCCAGCGTCTTCACGAAGTCGGGAAATATACTGTGATTGGCGCCGGTGGCGACATGTCCGACTTCCAGTACCTGCAAGACATCCTGAATGAGCTATTGATCTCGGAGGACGTCACCACATCCGATGGACACACGCTCGGCCCGCAGGAGATCCACGAATATTTGTCGCGTTTGATGTACGGAAGGAGGAGCAAGATGAACCCGTTGTGGAACAGTCTGCTCGTCGGTGGTTTCAAGGACGGCAAAAGCTTCTTGGCCTACGTCGACCTTCTCGGGACGACCTACAGCTCGTCTACTCTCGCGACGGGCTATGGCGCGTACATCGCCCAACCACTTCTTCGTAAGGCGGTGGAGGGCAACGAGACAACACTCACGGAGGAGGAAGCGCGCAAGATTATGACCGATTGCTTGCGAGTACTGTTCTACCGTGACGCTCGCAGTCTGAACAAGGTGAGAAACAAGGACATATTGTGTCAATATCAACGCCGTGTACTGACGTATATCTAGTATCAAATCGCAACGATTACGGCTGAGGGCCCCAACATCTCGCCGAGCCAGGAACTAGAGACGTCTTGGGGGTTCGCGGAGGGTATTCGTGGCTACGGCGCACAGACACAATGATTGCATGTATACTCTTATACGCGTGCGTGTATGATATGGACTTCAAACTGGCTTTGTTGGGATCGGACGACAGGCGTTACGCAGCCGCACAGTCCGAGATCTGAGCGTCCGATATTCTTGACATGCTAATCATGGGACCAGGTATTGTTGGAAACTAATGCTGGCGCTGCGAGCTGGATTCCAAACGTAGCACAAGTGCATGGTTATGGAGAATATGCCCCATTGTCCACGGAGATATTGACACGTTTCTCCGTAGAATCTACTCTGCCCCGCACATCCGAAGATTGCAGTTCATTGTACCCCGCCTTCCCCGACTTCTTCGGCATGGGTCGGCAGAGCCCCTCGCTCAAAGGGATGAAACATACCCCGTCATCGCATCCATCAAGCCGAGACTCAATGGTACGCTCGTTATAGTGACCGCAATAGACTGCCGACTAGATCCAATAGCCGTCGTGTAGTAACCCAAGAAACAAGGTTAAAACACCGGGACCGCTTCGGTAAATCCTGTACGGCTTCCTCATTAGCCACCCGCAATCCCCGCAATCTTGTGCTTCTAGGCGTCATCATCACTCACGTGTGTAGTCCGAGCCTAGTGCCCGACCGTACTGTGATTTGGCTATGGCTGTGCGGCGGACTATACTGTGCTCAATATCATCTGCCGGACCCCTACCGGCGGTACACATGCTGCAGCCAGCAGACAGGTCTATCCTCCGGTCCCTGTCCGGATATTCTCCAGCGCCCGATCGCCATACCCGTACCTACATATGAAGAGGCGAATGTCGCCAGTATCCAGCAGGATCACCTCACAGCAGCACCCGTAACTCAACATCGACATGGCCATCCGCGCAGCATCCTTCCTTCTCCTCGGCGCCGCTCTGGCTTCGGCCAATGTGCTCGACAGCCGCGCCACTTGCCCACAAGTCCACGTCTTTGGTGCACGCGAGACGACCGTTCCTCCAGGCTACGGTACCGCCGGACCCGTGGTCAACTCGATCCTCAGCGCCTTCCCCGGTGCGACGGCTGAAGCGATCACATACCCCGCATGCGGTGGCCAAGCTTCCTGCGGCAGCGTCAGCTATGCCAGCTCGGCCGTCCAAGGCGTCGCCGCCGTCGCCAGCCAAGTCAACGCTTTCAACACTCAGTGCCCCGATACCTTCCTCGTGCTTGTTGGATACTCGCAGGGCGGTCAGATCATGGATGATGCGTACTGCGGTGGCGGCGACACCAACGAGGGTCTCTCGAACACCGCGATCCCGATTTCGGCTGCTGCTCAGAAGAAGATCGCCGCTGCTATCTTCATGGGTGACCCGCGCCATATCCCCGGCTTGAGCTACAACGTCGGCACCTGCCAGGCATCTGGCGTACGTTTCTATACTCTCTACACCATACTCACCTTCACTGACGCCATGCGCGCTCACAGTTCGCCCCCCGTCCCGCCGGCTTCCAATGCCCCTACGCATCCAACATTCAGTCCTACTGCGACGCCGCCGACCCATACTGCTGCAACGGCAACGACGCCAACACGCACCAAGGCTACGCGACCGAGTACGGTTCGGTCGCGCTCACGTTCGTCAAGAACAAGCTGAACGCTGCTATCGGTGGTGGTTCGACTGGTGCCTCGACGACTGCCCCCGCGACCACGCCCACTTCGCCCGCTGGTGGCTCTCCCTCCAGCGGCCAGGCTGCGCACTATGCTCAATGCGGAGGTATCGGCTTCACTGGCCCGACGTCGTGGTAAGTTTCTTTCGCTCACTTGTGCCCTCCTTTCGCCCTTGCTTCAGTTTCTTTGCTGATAGAAGCTCTACAGTGCCGCGCCCTACACTTGCATTGTCTCCAACGGTAAGCTCTCGTTTACTCTGACACACATACGTTTTACTGACACGACCATTAGCCTACTACTCTCAGTGCTTGTAAGCGGCATACTCGCGCATGCAGACTACTGTCAGTGCCTGTGAAAATGGCTGGGCCCTTGCGACTCTCTTTCTTTGGTGGGCTTTCGGAGGCGTCTTGTGGTAGTGACCTTGAGAGGTTTGACTGGGCTATGGGCTATCAAAATGTTCCGCTTATGGTCAATTATACACGGGATCCCGCTTCAATTCTACTCAGAACAGCACGTCGATGACCGAAATGCCCGATGAAAGTAGCATCGTAGCGAGTTGAATCGATAAGATACGCATGGGTTTGAGAACGAGACTGTCCAGAGTGAGCGGAAGTACGGCGGGTTGTTGGGTGGAGATGATGGCAGAGGAGACAGTGAGGGCTACATAGCTTGAGCGGAACTTCCGAACGAAAACAAGATGCAGTGCGACGGTTAGATGCGAGGATAAAACAATGATCCAGTAATGTAGATGAGTGGGGTTTGATCGAAGCAGGAATGACGTTCAGGCAAAGTATGCGAGGGCAAGCGACATGACCGTCGCAGAGATAAGGTTGACCTGGTTATCGTATCAGACTCTACTTCTGCGATAGGAGTACCAGGGCAGGGGCACACCTGGTTATTGGTCAGGACGTCGATTCCGCTGACAACCTTGATCTCTTCGTCTTCGCCCGCAGGTGTTCCGGGGCGGCTTCCGTGTCCTTCCAACATAACCTACGCATTCGTGTCAGCCATGATCGACAGGGGTTACGTGGTCGGATGGAGAGAATGTCGCAGTGGCTGAACGTACCTTCTTGCGCGTTAGGCTGTACGCCGTCTCCTGTAGCGTCGCGCCAAGAAGCGAGTCGAGCATGCTCCCCGCGAGGCCGGCGAACGCTCCCCAAAGCGCAAGCTCGTTGAACCACCTGATCATCAATCAACACGTCAGCCAGCGCCCATCGCAGAAGTAGACCCGCGCTTACTGTCCCGGCTCACCGCGGCAGGCCGCGTTCTCGATGATCAAGGTGAACCACATCGTCACACCCATAGATAGGCCTCCAGCAAACGATGCAAGGGTACCTACAAACGCCAAGAGTTAGTCTAGATTAGGCATGATGCTGACTGCGTGGGGCGAGCGATTGAAACCCCAGAGAATCGACTGTATGTCGATCATGAACGGAGCGCCCGATGGGGTTGTAACCCGAATCGACGAGCATCGCTGATAAACGCGTCATACATACCAAAAAGCGATAGTCCACCGTTGGTGCCGGGTGGTACAGGGCGGAGGGTAGTAAGCAGAATGGGCGGTTGCGGCGACAAGATGCCAAGTTCACTTGCGAGCGTATCCCCCAGACAACAAGCGAAGTGTCTTCATCACACACATGCGCGCATGAGTTCATAATCTTAGATCATTGTATAACAGCATAGCGTACCCGAGCACAATGAATAGCAAGGTACGACTCCATCCACCACTAACACCCGCATCCAACGGGCACCATTCGCCATGGTACGCCTTGCCCGGCACATCTAGCGCAGCACTTGCGACTTTTGCTCCAGGGAAGCCAGGTGCATGTAGTGCGCCCCAGAGTAAACTCGCCACGAGTGCACTAGCGCTATTGCTGAACACCTGCGCTGCTGTCCTATATCCCGCACCAGCCCCATCATGTCCATCTTCTAGTGATGCTTTTGTTGCCTTTCCGCGTTTCGTGGCCGATGATCCGAGAAGGTAGAACACGATAAGCGCAATGCCTGGTGTTCGTAGTGGTAAAGAGAGCATGCTGATGCCGGTCAAGAACGCGGCGGCTGCGCCTGAAGGTGACAGCGAACGTTTTCGTAGGCCATTTACTGACAGTGCCGTGGCAAAGAGGAACGGTATAAGTGGGAAGTCATAGGCTAGCATTCTAGATATACGCCACCCAGGCCCCGGTGTGCGATGTGCGAGGAGGCAATGAAAGTTGAGACGAGGGTGCAGGCGCGAATGATAGCTCTATATGACCGCTGGCGCGTGATTCTTTGACTCAGATCAATGTTGTTGTCGGTCAAGTCGTGGTGCCTGGTTCCCTTTTGGGGAGCGGGAAGCTTTTGCCTTTGTCGACCTACAGCTACAGGGCCTCCGAATATGCCGAATTCAATTAGGATAGGTGTGGTATATCGACAACAACATCGATGACGATGATGAGCACAACTCGGTTCTCGTACATCGCCGATACAGTATATTCTCAGGCCTGGTACAATGAGTCTAAGAACGTATTGACGAGAGTGCCAACCATGCGAGGGCCAATGGCACTGCTGGACCCCAGACCTGCGAACATCAATCAGTATCAATCGACGCTTGTGTTGAGGAAGATACTCGTACCGTAAAGCGCGACCATGTTTCCTTGCTTGCCTCCCGCGGCGGACGCGTCACTAACCTCACGTACCGCGTCCTTGAGATCGGCTAAGAATGTCTCCTTGACGCCTACGGTCAAACGCTACCAAACGAAATTAGTCGGCCGTGCGCTCAAGCTTGGATTGGACGTACTGTGACAGCGATGTGCAGCGCCGCAGGGTTCTGCAGCGCATTCAGATGCCAACCCTTCCTGCTCATGGCATCCCCAACGGCAAGGATAGAGAGGCGGTCTGGATGCAGACTGGTGAACGCAACGACGGGACCGGGTGGCGAGCCGAGTACGCGCAATTCTGGGAAGGCGTTCGAAGCGATAGCAGCCTGTATGGACTGGCGGGTTCCCACTATTGAGCGGCAAGACTCGATGTAACCCCTACAAACAAAATGAGTGACGGAATGGAAGATAACCGAGAGTAGCGACATACGCCTCGCCCATGTAGGTCATCGCAGCCCATGTACCTGCGATCAACGAGCCCGGCCTACAGTGAAACCATTCAGTGATCCGCCATGTTGCTCAGACGCGGAGAGCACATACCGTGAGCCTGCCATACCCGGGCTGGCGTAGACGCCGCCCGCCCAATGCGGGTTCACGTAGTATTGGTGTCTACGCAGCTCCTTATCGCGATACATGACCACACTGCTGCCTTTCGGTGCGAAGCCGTACTTGTGAGTATCGCAGGAGATACTGGTCACACCGGGAAGACGGAAGTCGAAGAGCTTGGACGGGAAGCCCGCCTTCTCGAGGAACGGCATGATGAATGAGCCGAGGCAGCAGTCGACATGTAAACCGATCTTGTACTTCACAGCCAGATCGGAAAGCGCTTCGATATCGTCTTGGCAGCCGTCAGGGAAGTTGATAGCTGAGCCGACGAGCATGATCGTATTCGGATTGCTGTATAGACATGAACGGTGAGTATACTCCACAAACGTATAATCAGAGCATACACTCACATAGCGCGTTTCACTCGCCTGAGGTCTACTTGACGGGTGATGGGGTCAACCGGTATCGAGTGTAACTTAATCCCAAAGTAGGCAGCCCCTTTGTCGAATGCGGCATGCGCGCTAGCGGGTACAACCATCTCGGGTCTCGTTATGCCTTTGGTGGCGCGCGCCCAATCGCGATGCGTCTTGACGGCCATCAAGATGCTCTCCGTGCCACCGGATGTAGTCGCACCAGCGCCACTCGGGTTGTTGTACATGTTCAAGCACATGCTCACGATCTCAGCCTCCATCGTGCGCACGGCCGGGAACGCATCGGGGTGCAGCGGATTGCTCACGCAGTAGCGCTGGAATGCGGCGACGATGACCTTCTCCATATCCGGCCCGCCGTGATAAACTGCGCCAGAAAGCTTCCCGAGCTTATAATCGGTATGCTGAGGGGCGACAGCCTCCATAATGTCCATCTGACCCATAATCCACTCGAGTGGCTGGCCCTGTGTCGGCAGTGAGAGGTGCCGCACGACGCCTGCACCAGACGGTACCAAGCTCTTCTCCACGTCCGCTTTGGCAACGGCCATCTCTGCCTCCACTTTAGGCGCAACCCACGGGCTGGCGACAATTAAAGCCAGTACTCGTTCCGCGGCCCATGCGTACGCGTCCTGAAGCACATTCACAGGTCCGCGCGCTCGCACATGTCGATATGCAAGGAGAGTGCGAGTAAGAGCAAGATATAACAGTAGGGCGCTCTGTGCGTTCGAGAAAGTGACGTTTTCCCAAGTTAGGTTCTGTCGGAGTAACTCGGCTGCTTCTACAAGGTGCGGGAGCGCGACCGTGGAGAGTGCGGTCAACGACTGCGAGCGGGACGACATCCCAGGCGTTCGCTGCTTGGGTTTCCCGAAGACAGAGTAGTAGGATGTGGTCGGGAGCAAGTGTCGTGTTACGCGTATCCATTGCACATGAATCTTGGAATTCCGACCGTTGACGCGCCGGCGGCGCGTCAATAGAGAGCGCGAATTGTGTAAGCATATGGGTCCACGATGATCCGTCGAGCAAAACCAAAGTCGTGGCTCAAAGAGCTATCTGTATAACGCCCAGAGTGGTCCCAGTCTCGAGAGTATACGCTTTCGGTCGTCGTCAGAAGGACGTGGGCGAGGTCATCGTCATAGTCAAGACGCAGTCGGCCATTTCCGTATCAGCGCCACTCCCAATGTCACCTGCCGCTTTCGTTGACTTCCCACCACCACCATGCTTCCACACTATGCTAGCGGCACCTGAGCGCCTGTACACCTCACCTCTCGCATTGGCTGTTGTAACCGCCTATGTGCTCAGCAGCCGCAAGATCCATTCTCCCGCAGTGGGATACTGAGCATACCAGCTACGTGAGCTACCGAAGAAGTGCAAAATTGCCGCCGGGACCTAGGCCGTACGGCTTCTTCATTGTCGCTCCTGCTGTGCCTCTTCCGCTTTCTAGATTGTCCCAGTATACCTGGGTGAGAACTGGGGGATGTGCTTTCCAGATAGGTTAAGCCGAGACAATGCTTTGGGTTCGACGTTTCCTTCGGTGCTGGCGTGGAGAGCTCGCATGTCGCGTCACACTCAGCCCCTGCATTGAGGGAAATGTCATATATTGTCAGGGATAGGCTACACCGAAAGTTTGTGATCGTAAAATGGGCCCGCGGGATGGTCGAAGTGTGCGAGGAATGAATATACTCCCCGATGTGCGAGCGGCGAGATCCTCATGTGAAGACACAGATGTCCTTGATCAGGCAACTTCAACCCGCTCATCCAACAGATGGGCTCGTTCTTTCACGGCATCAGATGTCCGCGAACTCTACTCCGGCACTCATTCAGCTTCCGAAGTGAGCATCTGTTGGCAGTATATCGACCACTACGCCAGGCGATCTCAAACGTCACTGGTCGACTTTTATGTAACACAATGCAGGAGCGACACTCAGCCACGTACCATTACGACTACGAAGGCCTACAAAGGCACAACTCAGTTGAGACGCCAAGGGGCTACGCAGTCTACGCAGGCGCACCGACGCTATGGAGCAACTTCGAATCTTTTCTCTGCAGCAGCTCTCCGTGAGACCATGATCATCCTCTACAGAAGTCCTTCGTTCTGAGCGTATCCGATGCTCACACTGGGGCCCGCCAGTCGTCCTTTAAGTGAGACGACTCGCTGGTCCGACTTGAATGTGCCGCCGCCATGGAGAACCAGACGCCGACATATCCCCTCGTCCCGACAGCAAACTTCATCGCTTGCTTTCTGACATTGTCCGTCTTGCTGACGAGCCCATTGCGACACGCATTCAACAGAGGCGTCTGTCTCCTCTCGGCCTGGGTATCAATGATGTCCCTGGTCACCGGCATCCAAGCTGTAGTCTGGAGGAAAAGCTCCGACACGACCCTGATACCCGGCTTTTGCGATATATGTTCGTCACTTCTCATCGCTTTCCAGATTCACTTCTAATACATTCATCGCTAGCGATTCGTCTTCAGATTGGCTCTATCTCAGCCGAGACGGCCTGCACGCTCATCATCACCCGTTACTTATTTCGAGTTGTGCAACACCCACTACGACCGATCGATGAGTACGAGGTGAGATCAGAACGCACTGCCATTAGATGTCTTGACGCTCACTAGCATCACGGCAGCGTCGACGACGAATGCTTCTCAACTACGCCCTTGTGATTGGGCTCCCACTCTTGACGAATGTGCTTTGTAAGTGCTTTACGGCAAGTATTCCTTCTGATACTTACATACCATGCTCTCCACAGACTACGTAGTCCAAAACTCGCGCTTTCAGGTTGTCGAAGAGTTTGGATGTCTCCCGACGATCGAGCCCTCGGGCCTGGCCATCCTCATACTGAACGGCATACCGACCATTTTTGTCCTCATCTCAGCAACCTACATGAGTAAGCGAGGTAGCATTCCCATTTCCTGTTCCTCCGCTCACCAGAAGTCCAGCCCGGACGATGCTCATCTTATGCCAGCACAAACGCAACTTGCAACGACTCTTTGGTAACCAAAGTATCATCTCACATAGCGTCTACCTACGCATCCTCTCCTTCGGCTTTATCCTCTTATTGTTCTGCACCGTGGCTGTCGTAAACTTCTTCCCGCTCCCCGACAAGTTCTATCCCGGCTGGTCAGCGGTGCACAAGGACTGGGATGCCGTGTCCGTCAGTGCTGAGGAGTGGCGCACGGAGGGCACCTTTGTGTTCTTCACCATCGTCTGGTACGGGTGGTACAACGTCTTCCTTGCGGTGGTCATCTTCGGCGTCTTCGGTCTCACGCGTGACGCACGGGCTGCGTATATGCGCGTATTTGACGCTCTCCGAACGCGCTCGCTGCGTCGGAGCAGGCCCCAGTCGGAGCTTTCGACACTGCCGTTGGCGTACGAGAACAGGTTCTCGACACTCTCGACACTTCCTGGCCTCGGGTGCGTGTCCCATCCGGCTTCTTTCTCTCACATAGAACTTGCTCACGAGCCGAATCTCCGCAGAGACATATCGTCTTTGAACTCTACTTTAATGGGACCCCTGTCCATTGACGGCTTGGCTGCGCACAAAGAGTCTATCGCGATCGACATCTCGATCGCAGTTGAGCGGCATATAAACGAGAATATGGAGAGTCCAATCGAGTGTCATGTTGAACATGTATAGAAGGATCGCAATGTAGCTGTAGACGTCTGCTCCGCCAAACAATCGTCACGAATGATTATCCCCGAGCTGTTATCTCATCGAGGTGTTTGATCCGTAAGAACTATGAGCACAGTCCGCGTCGTGGATTGGTACTGGTAAGTCTACGATTGCCAGAACCTGAGAATGTCTTGGCGAGTCGATGAGGGATTATGAGATTGATAGCTTCCGCATATACTTACATCCGGCACAGTAGGAACACTCCTCGACTCCTGTGCATCCGAAGTCGGTTCAGTGCGCAGGAGTGATTGGGAGGACAATACAGGGCGTGGGCAGGTCTCGAGGCCACACCTAGCACGAGGTGCGAAGACACGCGGTGGACTGCGATGCTGTTTGGCATTAGCCGGATACCATATCGGTCGTCGGCGGGACCGGTGAGCTACTCGAAAGGGCAGATCGTCAGATAACGGAGAGTGCCCTTCTATCTAAGAAACCATTGCACAGTGGCACCCTTGAATCCATGACGCGAACAAACCGCAATCTTGGAGGCCAATCTAAAGTCTGAGGCTGAGTGTCCCCGCCATCCGGATTCAATAACACGCGAAGCGCAACGTTGACAGGCACATAAATGCCGGACCGATGTCAAGAAGCTACGAAGTACTATACCGTATGAACGTCAAAGGGACAAGGAAGGAAGGAAGGGTCCAGCACGGGCTGCGCAGCACCGTGACTCAAGTTAGTGCGCGAAGAAAGCATCGAATGCAAAGCGGAGACTCCTCGTACATGCCGAAGAGCATGCATGTCGCAAAATGAGATGAACCGCTGGTAAGGAGGAAGGATGCGGGGAAATAGAATACTCCGACAGAGGATGGTGTATGATTTAGACAGGGTCAGACTGATAAGCAGGCAGAAGCTTAGGTTCGTGCAAGAGTGATCTCGACGGCTGCATGTATCGGGGGAGCCCTTCTACATGGATGGAATGTCAGCGATAGTGGGTTTCGGTTTCCGTATGTTGCATCGCAATACTGGGCGTATAGGGTGAGCTCACAGACTTTTCGGCCCAACCGAATGTGGCCAGATGCACTGAGGCTTCCTTCGGAATGCGTCCTCTGCGTTGGAGATGCGTAGACGCCGTTCCCAAGGAAGATCGACATCGCAGTACGTGAAGCTCCCAAGGTGATCGACGTCGAAGCAGTTAGCCCTCCCAGGAAGATTTGCGAGGACGCACATGACCAGCACTTGACCTGAGGACATAGAAGTCCAACGGGAGATGAAAAAGATCACAGCGCACCAGAGCACGAGTGCACATGGACATGGGATCAGGATCTACTTATCCTTCCTTGGTTTGTTTGAAAGAGTTGTCACGTTTTCATGGAAGTCGAAGTCAAAGATTTGCGTAGGCAATCCGATCCGCCATAGCCTTCGAAGGAATTGGGATGGTGAGCGTAGAGGATAGATGAAGGCGTTACATAGACATAGTCGGATCCAGTATAAGGGCGCGTGGAGGTCTTGGTGAGAGAAAGACTCGACTCCTGCGCCGTGACCAACCACATCCGAACCGACAGACGCGGGCCGGGCATACGCCAACAACAACACAGTATTGACTTTGAGCCTCGGGGACACAGGATGCGCTCAGACTGCTATAGTGCCGATGCTCGACGCACGAGCTTCTCGAATTCCTCGGTCATGCATCTTGCGTGGGCGATGCCACGACGGTGAGAGGCAAGGCGGGTTGCTGGCTCGGTATGTAAATATTCGTGGCATCCGGATATTCGGGCCGCTCATTCCGCAACGCGCGATTAGGTGCGACGCGACTCAGACCTCGACCATCAGGATTCCTCTGTCTATCTATGCAGCCAACGCCAACGCCACATGATCATCAACAAATATATGACCGCCATTGGTCATCCTACCCATATGTATCTTGCCAGAGGTGCGAAGTGTGAGGTGCATACGACAGTGGACTTCGCGACGTACAAGCCAGTACCACTATGTCACGCCGGCGCTTGTACCCGTACATCGTACTACAGCCTTGCCCTCGACAGTACTGAAGTGCAAGTGAGCTGCCGATTCTCTTTAATCTGTCAGAAGACATACAATGCGGAGAAAGCGTCATCCCGTGTCTGCCTTCTCATGCTAAACGCATTAGCGATCCACGTCATACCCGACTTCCCATATCATATCAGGCGGTCGAGCGCGCAGTGCTCTTGACCACACTTGTACTCACGTCCTAAACGTTGACCGGTGGCCCACATATGTCTACTGACTATCAAGAGATCAAGGGGACCTATTCTCCAATACCCCTCGCGGGTAAACTCGCCCTCATAACCGGCGCCACGTACGTTCTTCGCTCTTACCTTTGTGCAACGCACTCATGCTCTGCAGAGGTGGTATCGGGAAAGCGACAGCCCAGCTTCTTGCAGCTCGTGGCGTTCACCTGGCGCTACACTTTCGATCGTCCGTTTCCGCTGCTCAGGAGCTTGCCGCCTCCCTCACCAAAGCGCACGGGGTTCGCGCTCGAGTGTACCAATGCGATCTGGGAGACTTCGATGCGGTGAGACCATTTCTGGACGCCCGACTGCAGAAGTTGCTGATTGTCGGTCGAGGTTCGCACGATGCATGCAACTATAGTTCGAGAAATGGGCGAGATCGAGATTCTTTACAACAACGCGGCGAACGAAGGGACGATTATGGGCATCCAGGGGCGCATCGAGGATGTTAGTTTGGAGGAGATGGAGAGTTGCTGGCGCGTAAACACAGGAGCTTCGTTCCTTGTACGTCTCGTCTCATCATCTACAACCACACTCTCCGCACCTTGCAGCCATCACGCCTTCTTCGTCTTGCTTCCCCCGAGCCCTGCCTCAGCTGTCTCAACCTCTTTACATGCCGCGATATAATGCTAATACTCGCGTTCTAGCTTGCACAACTTACAGTCCCCGCTATGGCGCGCGCTGGGTTCGGACGAGTCGTCTTCTGTACCTCAGTCGCTGCGGCCACAGGCGGAGTCGTTGGCCCTCACTACGCTGGATCAAAGAGCGCATTGCATGGCATCATGCACTGGATCGCCAAGAACTACGCGCGAGATGGCATAGTAAGTTTATGCTCTTCATCGCAGTCTCAGGAAAACTGACGGGTCCTTCTTGCACCTACAAGACATGTAACGCTGTGTCACCAGCCCTCATCACCAACACGAAGATGTTCGCGAATGCGACAGACGAGCATCGCAAGCTCATTCCTCTACAGCGATTCGGACAACCCGAGGAAGTAGCGCAGGTTGTCGAGCTCCTGCTGACGAACGCTTACATGACAAACAAGGTCTGTCCTCCTCGACCGCTCTCCAACTTCAAATATTCATGTTATCGACAGATCATAGCTGTCGACGGAGGTATGCAGCCCAGCGCATATGCCTGAGCGGAATCCCCAGTGTCAGTAAAGACGTCTGCAACTTACCAATCATGTCTTCCGACAAAGAAGATCTTCAAACGCGGTTGGGTTCATTGAACGGCCACAATCACGTCTATCACGTTTCAAGTCGTTCAAATGCTGCCGCTCATGCTGTCCCTTCGCTTGTAACTGATCTAAGCGCCTATCTCTACCAATCGATACAACAGTTGATGACGGGAACAGCTGCATTGCTGTAGATCCGATGACGATGCGGAAACTCAGTCCGTGCTCATTGTGCCCTGGGACATCGTATGAAGGCCCATACGAAGACTTCTTCAATCTTTGTATGAGGGCGTCGAGGACACGGCTTCAACTTGCAACCCGGATTGCGCAACATGGATCGAGCTGCTGGTCAGTATTGAAGTGGCTGTATACGGTGCAGATCCCCGCGTCCATCGGCTGTGCACAAAGATGACTGGACACTGAGGACATGTCTGTTTTAACCTGATTGGTCGCTCACACCGCATGCTCGTCCGCATCAGAACGACATGCGATTCGCTGGAAGCCGGCCAATAATGACCACTGTTGGCTGCGGCTGTGCCTCCGCTGGCAACGGCCACTAGTATCGCAGCACCGAGCGCTCAGCAACAGTATATGTACTGGCTACTTGACCATCGCCACGTACAGTCCACACGATACCCCCCAACTTCGTGATTCCCAGCTTCGTACGCGCTTGAGGCGTTAGATCTTTCGATTTCGGACCCCCCGGCGGGCCATTTTTCGTTCATATTTATCCATATTTGATGGGTGCGTGTATTGAGTTCCCCGCCGGGTTTGATCTTCGAGCGCTGACACGACCCAAACAAGCAGATCCACCAACTACAGCGGGCTCCGGACATAGCGTTCTCCCGGTTCCACCAACGGATCCCACGTTGGGAAACACATTCATTGATCCACAGGACAAGTTTTGGAGCTTATATCGTGAGGCATCACCCTTGCCGCTCTGTCGATTATACTCATACATGATAACGCCAGTCTCGGATGCGGAGAAGTACGATCAGTACCGTATGGAGAGCTGGAAAGGTGATACAGATGGCATTCTTATCTTTGTCGGTGATTCCCACTGCTCATCTCTTGCTATCTTGCTCATGATCAAGTAGACTGGCTTGTTTGCTGCGACCGTCGCCACCTTCGTGGTCGCAAGCTACGACTTGCTTTCTCCTGACTCTGACGATGAAACCGTTGCCCTGCTCAAACAGCTGGTTGCGTTCTCGAATGACACCCAGCCACGACCTGTCAACATTGATAAAGACTTTGCACCGTCAGCATCCGCTATCTGGATCAACAGTCTCTGGTTCGGGAGTCTCTTCGTCGCTCTCTCTTGTGCGCTAGCTGCAACACTCGTTCAACAATGGATCCGTCGCTACAGTCACGATGTCCAACGTCGAGGGCCTCCCCGGATACGGGGTCCGATCCACGTTTACCTATCCATGGGAGTGCGTCGCTTTGGGATGGACCACGCTGTTGCATCCATCGTCTCACTCCTTCATCTTGCCGTCTGGCTGTTCTTCTCCGGTCTTGTGATCTACATGTCAGCGGCAAACAACATCATGGCTTACGTTGTCGTAGGCGGTATGGGCCTTGGTGCTCTCATCTACGCCTTTCTCAGCATCCTGCCGCTGATATGCCCGGATTCGCCGTATACGACACCGTTCACGCCTTTTCTCCGCTTCGCCCTTGCAATAGGATGCACCGTTGTGTCTGCGATCTACGCCATCGCCGCTGCGAGCGTCGCCTTCATCTACTCCGTTATAGACTGGGACGATCTCAGTGACAGGAGCAAGGGATTGAACGCACGTGCTTCGCGCATCATGCACTGGACCATACGACTATACCACACAAGATTGAGCGTAGCTTGCGATATCGCCCAAGAAGATTGCTTCACGCGAGAGGTCTATGCTTTCAAGCACACGTTGAAGAACGTTGATGAGGTGCATGAGCTTGAAGCGCTCTACGACGCTCTCGTTCCCATCGTACATCCGACGGAACCATCGCGCCTTCCACCTGCCGCCAGAGTTGATATTGTATGCTTCCTCCTTCGTGATCTTCGCATCATGGACGGCGTATACAAGCTTCTCCGCGCACGGCCAAGTACCAGCCACCCTCTTCCCCAGGCTGTTCGTAATCGCCGGTTGATCATCGCTTTGACATTCGTGCGTGCACTATTCAAAGTCCTTCCGCACGCAACACACCGCCCAGACCTCGTTACCGTCCTCCAGGATGCCACTGTGCCACTTTATCACACTTGGACGGAGATCGCGAGGAATGAGAAGAGGCCCGACACAGCCTTCCTTGCTCGGTGCTTCCTTGCTGCCATCCGCGCGGACGTATACACCTTCTGTCTCGAAGCTGCGAAGTCTCGCAGCGAGACCGTTGTTGCGTGCAGGGCTCTTGCACTGCGCCTCGCACAGCTTGACCCTCAGTCGTGGGGCACGGGTATCGAGGCCGGCGGGGCTGCTAGTTACGAGGATCAGGGTATCTGCTCCGTTATGATCAGAAACTACTATGCGTTCATCAGCGATATCCTGGAACTGTGCGGACGTGGACAGATGGTCATTCTTCACTCCCAAGCTGTAGTGTGGCTGCCGATGCTACTCAGCGTGCACCACAAAGCTATGAGCCAACTGCATTGCTTTGATGAGCCGAGCGCTCTGGACCGTCTGCGCCCTATCCTCGATGCTGTGGCGCTCGGAAGAAGAGATAGTCAAGGAGAACTTGTACCCTCGAGAGATGAGATCGGGCCCACGACGCATACTCTTCCCGTGGAAGACAGGTACTACCACGTCTTCGCGCGGTATCCTGAGTTCTATGTGGCCCTGCGGCAGCTATCGAGCGTAATCAATGGACATTCTCCGATCCGTAGAAGTATGCTTCCTAGTGTACCGATGACTGGGATCGGTTTCATGTCACCAGGATTCTTATAGGACAATGCACAATCATTATCATCTCTCGTTTTGGCGCATAGCCTATGCTTGATCGTATCCGCGCACCACCGTGCCGATGCCTCCCAACTTCTCCGCAAGATCGGCCACCGCCTTCGCAATCGCGACATCCTGTCCGCCGACTCCGACAGACTTGACAAGCGTGACCTCGCCACTCTGCAGAACCTCCTTCGCAAGTGCCCCGTCTGAGATCACCTCATCTCCCTTCACACCCTGCACAAGCTCACCGAGCTCAACCGCCGTCGCGAAGTCGACTCCAGCAGCGATGAGCTCGCCAGCTTCCGTGGCACAGGCTTTGCGCGAGTCGAGCACGATCCTCCCAGCGCGTTTGACAAGGTCTGTATCGATCTCGTGCATGTCTGTCCTCCATGAACCGACGAGGATAAGATGCGCGCCAGATGGTACGGCGGAGGAAGGGAACAGTGGGGTCGTCGACGGTGTTGCTGTCAAAATCACCGATGCGACACCGAGCGCACTGTGCAAAGCCTTCTCGTCAGACGAAAGAACGATCTCCACTGGGCGCGATGTCGATGAATGCAGGTACGCCGCCAGATCTTCCGTGCGCTGGTTGCTACATCGTGCGACAATCGCGACATGTTCGATAGTCGGATACACAGCGCATAGTAGATCCACGTGCGCTCGTACTTGTGCGCCGGCTCCGAACGTGACGATGCGTTTGAACGTGGACCTTTCCGGTTTGTGTAAGATCGTGGTTGCAAGTACGGTGCCGGCCGCAGTCCGCACGGCCGTAAGAGCTCGTGCATTCAATACCGCGCGCACCGCGCCGGTGTCCTCGTCCAGAACGAAGGTACTTGCAGGTAAGCCGCGCGTATCGCCTGGAGCACTTGGTACGGAGACGAGCTTCAGAGAAGCCCCAACACCTGGTACTCGGGCGGGCATGACCAAGGTCTTGTGTGACGGGAGAGGTAACGTTGTGCGATGAGGTTGTTGGACGGGATCTTCAGCTGAGGCATGGGCAAGAGCGTAGAATAGTCTCGCAGATTGAGCTAGCAGTGCAGGTGCAGGGAAGGAAGCGAGTAGTTTGGAAACATCAGCTGCACTGAGAACAAGCAGGTCGGGATGTGACATTGTAGCAGAGATAGTTTGGGAGTGGGTAGCGGCCACGGCCCCGAGCTTCAAGGTTCAGATTAGGCGGGTGCTGTCGGCGAAGTCTAGATATCAATGATCGTACAACGGTACCGGTAAGATCGTATGAGGTTGTACGCTTTTGATATCTAGACTGAGTATGAGATACATCTCTAACGCATCCGCTGCATGGTATAAGTAGTTAGACTCACCAGGTAGCAATGGAGAGAAGGTAGAGATCGCGGTTTGCGGCCAAGCTGTACGCTTGATAGGGCCACTTCGGCTAATCGGCTTAGTGGACGGATCAACGGAATTATGATTGTTCCTACGGCGGTTCTTCCTCAGATGCCCCTAACACCCGAAGTCTTCAGTACCACCACCACGATACTTAGAGCGGCCTCATGTTTACCTCGTTGCACCATGTACCTGCAGTCATCTAACGCCGGTCATCAAACTCTGAGGCAGGCGTACGCCGTGGCTCTTTCGCTGCTATGAGCGTCTTGGAGCTTGATTGGATCTACGCAATCATCCTGAAAGAAGCCTCGTTTGTCGAGTCCAGACCAGTTTGCCATGGAGACAACACGGAGACGTAACAAATGTGTATGTATTGGATCTGTTCATTGCCAACTCTAGCTCCGGAGTTGTCTGCGTTGCTACCCGCTCGCCGGCCGGGCTTTTTGTCGTTTCCCAGCAGGAGCGAGCGTGGAGGCTTTAACGAGGACCCTGAGCATGTTGAACTCTTCTTCCTTTGTGCTTCCCTCCCCCCACGACGATGAATTTTCCCGCTTCCCCCTCTGGGCCTCATCATAACGAGCACGCCGTGTACGGCGAAGACTCGCGCGGTCGACGCGACTCAAATGCCTTGAGAGCTTCCGTTCTAGATGTCGCTATGCAACTGGGCATCGGTTCCAGTCGCACGCTGCAGAATTGGATATTTGATGCTGTAGATGAAGAGGACGAAGGCGATCCTGATGATGAGGATGTACGTATTGCTCGATCATGCTCGTCTATCGAGAGACTCACAACGCTTTAGCTCGTTCTATCCGACCAACGTCCCCAACTTGGACGTTTCAAATCCATATACAGAGAGGAGTTCGATGCGGCGACACTGTCATCTGGCGTCCTCGATGCGATCACCAAGCACCCGGGTGGCGTTCGTATGCCCCCGCCTCCAATCCCCGACTCCCCGCCCAAGACCCAGACAAAGCTACGCAATAGGCTTCGTAAAGGCCGCAAGAGCGACGAGACGGACCCAGATATCGGCTACATTTCTGAAGGTGGAGCGGCCGCGAAGCGCAAGGCCCACAAAGCCAAGCGCGCCGCCATGCGGCCGAGCGAAGAGCAAACGGATGACGAAGGATATCTCTCTGAAGCGACGAAGAAGAAGCGCCCGTTCTTCCGGAATATGCTCGGAGGCAAGCCCAAGGAGATGCCGCCCATCTCTACACCGCAACCGCTCGTCGCACGTCAGCCGCCAGCGCCCGCGTCTCGCAGCCGCTCCCCGTTACCACCGACTGCGGCACCCACCCGCTCCAGCACTGCACCATCCTCTCAGCCGTCGCGGAGTTACTCTCCACTCCCACCGCCGCCGCGTATGTCCGACTCGCGCGCATCATCACCGTCGCGCTCGCCGTTGTGGCTCGAGCGCAGCTTGACACCTACCTCCGCAACTAGCCAGTCGTTCACGCC